GATGCGTGTTGCCAAGCACTGAAATGAAATCTTAAAGCTGGTGTATGTATCCAGTGTTGGATATGTTATGTATCCAACCACATTGGGTGGTTGCACCAACTACAGGTTGTTAATGATTGGATGTTACACGGCAGTGGACAACACTGAAACGATCGCGGAGAAATCCGATCCTGCAAAGGGAACGTGTCTGTCTTGGTTGGTAAAGTGACTTGTTTGACAACTACACTGAACTGAATTCATGCCATTTTAGGCGCACATTTTGTGCTTTTTAACTGCTCTCTAATTTATGAAAACTATTTGACTTTTCATTTTGGTTATTAAGATCGACGTATTGAAAAGTCCACTGATTTTGTTTTTTAAGTTGTGCGTGCGTTTGCAGACAACTGTGGGCGCTTTTGCTGTGACATCATTCGGGAGGGTCTTGTTGAGTGAGTTTTTTCTGTGCAGATTGTGAAACCAAACTTTGTACTGAAGGAAAATGCCCGGGAAAGTTTGCTCGTTGACCTATCCTCATGTTCTTGTACATAATAGTCCCCTGAAAAATCGACTTCGGAACAGCAGAACAAAATTCCTTCACTTTCGTTTGTGCACAAATTGATGTGTAACTGAGCTGTCATACCTGGAACGGCATCACAGATCTGGCCGTGAATATGAAAATTTGTATTATTAGCTTAGACACTATAAAAGACCGAACTATCCCAGAAAAAAGAAGAAAACAAGATCCATTGAGGTATTGTTCAGTTTTGTATTAAATTGCATTTCACGGACCCGTCAGTAACAATGAAACAATAATTACATGTAGGCTTGATCAGTTAGGAGGATTTTCAGATAGCTCCTTGCGTAGATATCTTCCATTTAATTCGGAAATGGAGAGTTGCACAACTTTAACATACACAAAGTGAACTGAAACGGAAATAAGTCCTCAGGTGCTGAAATAATCCGCAGTAATTCTCCAATTTAAAATGTGAACTGCTACGAAACCAAGTACATGAACATTAAATCGTTACAAAGCACAGGCTCAGAAAAATAATGGTTGAGGGACCTTTGGTGCAAAAATTACTTTCACCTGATGTTGTAAGTAGAAAGCATCAACTATGAGGTAAAGACCAATCCTGCGTAGAACAATACGGACTTGAACTTTTCAGCCTCAACACCAAGAGATGACATCCGAGTGTTGATATCAGGGTTTAACTCAATTGATTGGCCTGTACGCAGATCGTGGTTTCTCTTTCGGTACATGTTTCTGCTTGTGATGAGTTTCTCCCGAGATTGTGTATTTCTTCCCTGACACAACACTGCTTGGAGACATCATGACCTTGGATCATATCAGATGCGAATGATCATGTTGTCCTTGTGAACCTTGGGGATTAAGTGATTACAATCGGATAAAGACATAGCTCTGCACGCCATATCAATCTTTACATTGTCTCTATAAGCATGTTCGTTTTTCATAAGTAAGGGCAAAGAAACCATTTAAAAATTATCGGCAGTTCAAATGTGCTGCCTGTTAAAAGGAGCAATTATTGTATTCCTTTTAGCGGTTTCCATCGTTCTGAAGATCTCAAATTGCTTTTTATGCAATTATTGCCTGCTTGTCAAGTAAGACCAGTCCGCAGCCGCTATATATATACAGCCGCATGGCATGCGCCCCTGCTGTTCCCTCTTCCCGTCAGAAGCCAAAATGAGGCTCGGTAGTGTTTACAATTGACATGAATGTGTTCATGTGCTAGTACGCAATGTTCCCACTTGGTTTGCTGTGGTTTGGCTTGTTGGGTTCGGTTTGGTTGGGTTGGATTGGCTAGGTTTGTTCGGTGTCGTTTCGTGTCGTCTTTGCGTTTCCTTTAAATTCGTTTCGTGTTGCTAGCTAATTAAAGTCCTGGTACACCGGTAGGAAGGATATTCATAAATAAATAGTCATCACCCGTGCAGGGATGTAGAGTGTATGTAATTAGCTTTCATGGGCATGATAACAATTGTACCAATCGCTGATTTGTGTTTTGTGTAAGAGTAAATGTGTAAATAAAGTACACCATTTTCGCCTTTACTTTGAGTCCAATGTTCCATATATTTCATTGTTGAAACAGAACACTAACACAGGTCCTTAAGGTTTAAGCCGTAGGACTCTCTAGCTGCTTAAAAATGTCCTTGTCATTGAAATGTCGCTCTGGAGCACGGCAGCCGACCATAAAACCCGATTTTGTTATTCCGGGGAGATTGGGATGACAAGAAGAAAAACCTTCATCCGCAAAAATGCCCGCTGAGCTTCCGACTGCATCCAAGGCCATTTTGTTGCCGTCTTGCGGCCAGTGTCTAGCATCAACTTACCGACTGGACAAATAATAATTGACAAGGCAATGAATCTCCGACTTACCCGTCTGTGGAAGCATCTTTTCTGCAAACCACATTGATTCATACGTATCATCGTCGTGCTCATTATTTAATTCACTTCGCGTTGCAGAGTGTTATATTTTTTCATGTCTCTCATTTGTTTAAGTATAAATTTTTGTATTTCGCTAAACTGAAGTACAGTCTATTCCGTTTAATGTTCATTTGACAATTGACAAATTTAATGCCCTTGTTATTAGGCTTTCTTATGTTTGTAAGGCAACAGGAAGAACATTTCTATTGATCTTGGACCAAGTCATTGGAATCTGTAAACAAACTGCATGTGCTGATCGCCGAAGCTCATGCTATGGAATTAACATTCTTTGGACATATTTCCCATTCGGTGTTTGATTGTATTCTTGTCCATTGGTTTTGCAACGCTTTTGAGACATACCCGCTTTTATTTTCTGCATTTTAAGCCAGCAAAGTGAGTCAGCCTTTTTGAAGCAGGGTGGCCACAATCGGCCTTGAGCATCAGCATCCTTGCATCGGTTAAAAAGAACCACGTTCGTGGGGAGTGTTGTTGGTAGCAACGAATACATTTCGGTGTCGGTCGTGAACCAGCGAAACGCAGTCCCCACCATTTGAGCCTCTGTTGTTCGGAAACTTGCGCCTTATCTTGGTATCACTTAAGGGAGATAGGAGGGCTTTATAAAAAAGGGGGTAAATTTGGAGTAATCTTATTTTATCCGCCATGCCTTATTTAGGCTAATGTTGTCATTCCTGGCATGCGTCTATTTTAATTTTTTTTTCATGCATGGAATTTGCACGTATTGTAAATTACTCAGCTGTGGCAGTTGTTAAAAGGGCGAAATTAAAGCAAATCACAATGAATTTAAAGGAAATTCACATAATCTGCTGTAATAATCTGCTTTTCCTTTCACGGTGGTAATTCATTTCACAGATGAGTATCTAATTTGGTAACAGACTTGTGGTCCTGTTTAGGTTTACCTTGCAAAAGTGGAGGTGACGTTGGTGCTTCAATCAGGCTAAATTCTAGTAGAAAACATTATCAGTTCCATGACGTGGCTCAGAATTGTTCTAACATTGTGTACATTAGGCCAACGTAACTTCTGCAAGACCCAACTGCAAATCATCCATGTAGCTAGACAATGTTATTAACTGAACTTATTCCCCACCGAGCTGAATAGCAAATTCTGATATTGATAAACATCAATTGATTCTTGACCTTCTTTATTTGTATAAATCGTTTAAATTGAAAAAGAAGTTCGTTATTGCTTGTATTTAAAACATGCATTTAAAACTGCCTTGAGTTCAGTGAGTGCTGAATCCTTTAACAAATATGAACCGTGGGGTTTCAAATATAAATGGAATCAGACTGGTATACAAGTGAGGCGCTTCTTTAAGTGAACGGTCGAGAGTAGACACTGTCCAATTGCGTTTTCTCTCATTACATTTCTTTTCAAATTTGTTCTCAACCTTTCCCAGGAGCCATGCCTGGCGCCTCATTCTGTCACAAATTTCATGAAAGTTGGGCATATCCGGACGAAATAATCTGAAACAAGGCTTAATGTTACAGTGGAATATGCGCTCACAGACAGTGTGTTGGTGTTAGTTTTTGAGTATGATAAAGAAAGACAAATACTGCGTCTGAATCCATTAAAACTTCATAGATACTCTTGGATGACTTGCATGCCAAATATTAAGGAAATTATGATTGGACAGATGAGATTGAAAGAAGCAGGATCCCTTTTCATCCCGTTTTGTGGCCAGCAACAAGACTGTCTCAGAATTAAACTTAGTCTTTGACCAATTCATGACCAATGGTTCCTTTTGTAATTTCTAATTCCCCTCCAGATACATTTAATAGAGACTATGAATTTAGTTTAACTTGAAATGTGTCCAGCTGCAAGAGGTAAAAGTCCGTCGCGTGCAGGAAAACATGTTTATCGTAACCTTTGGTTGGACTTCAGTGATCAAATTGATGAAAGGTCTAGCCCCAGAAGCAGTTCTGACTTGGATATAATATAAAAGAAATACCAATAAGCTTGAGCCCAGAGATGCTGTGGAATCGGCACTGTAGATGTCTTGAATCACAGACTGTGGTTTTATTAGTGTTTTCTCACTGAGAAGAGAAAAGCTTCGGCGAGAATCTCCCTGCAGTGCACCGTTTTATGAGCGGGGCCCCTTCACCCCACAGCGGCTAACTAGGTTATCACATGCATTATTGGCAGCACGTTTCCCCAGAGAATATGGCAATCAAGAGGATACTAACTGGAACGACGTTAGCAGCGTCTTGCCCGAAGATGGGACTGGCATTTGTCCTAATCATACTCCCAATTTCGCATCCCTTCAATTTTTCTCGATGCAATTTGCACTGGCCGTAAAGTGTAGAGTACTTCTGGCGAAGTTTTGATAGAAATGAGATTTTCTTTTGAGAGACGATACTGGTGAGCACGGAGCATATGAAAGATGTGTCTAGCAGCGTAAATATGGAATAACAAGAAAGAAAAATTATTTTCTAGAAAATTTAACGATTGTGCGGTAAAGTGCGCTGTTGCAACATCAGGTGGCATGTCTGTCTGCAAAATGAAACCACTTTTACGTATTATCCCTTGGCATTTATATTGCCTTTTTTCTCTTCACATCTGCAGCTATGTTTACCCACCGAAATAATGATACAACCGAAAAACCCCCGGAGTATGGAGACGTATTGTTGGTAACTTACGAGGACGGACATTGGAGCGCTCCATATTACGACTGCGGAGGGGGGAATATCTGGATGATCACTTACACTGTGCCCTTTCTTGGATCCTACGAAAACGGCAGCTATTATTTCAAGTAAGTTTATTGAGATTGTCTCGTCCCTATCATATTTGAGACTTAGTTTCAGCGACATCCACGAGAGGCTGTGAGCTGTTCACAACTCTAACCTGGATTCAGTACAGTCGAAGTTTATTCCTTAACATATAATCATATTGTAAGTGGATAACCGCCTGGGCAGTTCAATTTGGTATCACTGGTCTAGTATTGCGATTTTTGTCGGGTTTCATTGTTACCATGTCGATCGAGGGTTACAGCAGGTGCAGGAAAAGTGCACTCATGCAGTGCGTTTACACCTCAGGAACTGATGCGTATTATCTGGAGCAATATCTCCTCCATAATGGGCCTTTCTCTATTCACACGTGACATTTACCACCTTGGCCTTGGCTGTCTGAATACTATGAATATTGGGCTTTATCAATTGAATTTAAATTCTGACAGCTCTGAGTAAAATGCTCTCCAGGAGCAGACAATGGCAATACGCAGCTGGCTGAACTGACTGTCGGTCCGGAGAACCGAAGCTTAACACCCACAGAATGTCGATATTCCCAGGAGAGAAATAAACGCCATAGCGCGGTGCAAAAGGTACTACTACGTTGCCAAGGTGTTGCGCGTCTCATGTTTAAAAACTGATCCATCTGAAAGGTGGGAAATTGACAAAAAATTCATTGTAAGATCGATATATCTGAGCTAAAGCGTCTCTGACACCTACAAAGTGATGTTTTAATGCAACGTATAGTTCGTCTTGTCTGTATCTGCGAGGCGATTCTCATTTAATACGCAAGTGGAAGATACATTATTAGGAATACCACCGAGTCACTCCTGGTGTGTACATGCATGAAATAAGACTACACCCCACTCCATGGCTTCAGCATCCACGTGATTCCGCGAAAGTGCAATTGTCTGTGTATTTACACACTGTTCTTCTGAAATGTAATTTTGTTTAATTTGCAAAGAACAAATGATAAACTTGAAATACAGTGTTGATGGTTACAATTGCACTGTTCTTACAGTTCATATAAAGCCAGGCTGATTTTATAAACATGGATATCTGTATATGCACATGCCGTTTCAAAGGATTGTATTGTGGGGCAGGCGAGTTCCGGATAGCCTTTCGTCAAGGCTTTCGTGGCAAAGCGACTGGACCGGGGGCCAGACGAGTGGCGCAGCCATGAGGCCTTTTCCAACTTGACTTTGACGTTTTTGTGGTGAATTATTTATAAGCTTTCTGAGATGCATTATTTATAAATTGCATGTAAATAGTTGAAGCAGATGAGTCTCCGAAATAAACGGCATCAACTCCAAAGCTTACGCAATGTTTCCATCTGGTTTTTCATGAGAGCAATAAGCGGTGAGATGACAACTATGATGCTTGTTGGTGGGGGATGGTGCTGACGTTGGAGCAAGTAGCAGTTCATCAAGGCCGAATGGTCAAAGCAAAACGGCAGTACTTGAAATATGGATCTCTTACGCTCTAAAAGCTCCCGGGTCAAATATGACCCGAAAGGGGGTCATAGTTTGACCCAGAAAAGGGTCACGCCGAATAGGATCCCATTTTGGGCCAATCTGATCTGGGATTTTTGTACCATATCCCGTGAGTAGAGACGAAAGCGTCACGCCCGCGTACAGATGTTTCAATAGCCTAACGCTGCAACGGTTTAAACTCGGCAAGGTAAAATTTTCCAGCAGCATATTCTAGAGAACTGTCCAAATACTGCTCAGACAACTGACCTGCACTCACGGCCGCCGACACACTTGACACACTCGCCATCTTTCGTATACTTTCAATTTGCGTAATAGGTTAATGTGTGCTGACCCCCTCGCTTATGATTGGTTGGGATTTTTGCTACCCCAACGGAGTACCAAAAATCGAAAACATGAAGAAAACATAAGAAATTCCTGACCTTGGAAAAGGCCTCATGGCTGCGCCACTCGTGCATGAGGTCTCCTGTCCAGCCGCTTTACCATTACACATAAGCACAGCAGCGAAGGCCTTGACGAACGGCTAAGTTCCGGACAGGGTGAAATCCAGTCGCTCGGCGGAGAGACGTACGCGTGTTCTAAACTTGTAAACTTGAGACAGCGTACTCCCTGAACATAACATCTAGGGAAGGCCACGAGGATTTTACTCGTTACATTATTCTACATAAATCTCCAGAATTATATCATGGAATTTGGACATCACTTGCAACGCCTCATCTAAATTATTGCACTCACTATACGATATACATTGATTGCTGAATGGTTGCTCTATGGCATTTTACTTCGTCTGTCTATCACTCATGTTGTCTATGTGTAGATCTTGCGATGCATTTTGCAATATCTCCATTAACCACACCCCACTGTATCCGTCATTGAGCTTGTTTCCAAAGCATCAAGGTCTTTTTACCTTTTTAAGTTGGAGATTAAACGCTCCTTTATTTGTGCCAACTACCCCCGGACTCCTATATATTTGAGCTAGCTGCTAAACACATCGAGCATTGACCCTATCCTGAACACAGTCTTACGTACGCCGTTGCCCAACGTATCACGCCATTCAATGGCTGATCATTCACAAGAATATCATCTCCGACTGATTTCGATCCCTGGACGGCGATTAGAATTATTTCTTTTACCGGACTCTTGCCCGGGAAGCTCATTACCACGAGCCCAGCCAACTGTCCAGAAAGCGGCGGGACATTAGCCAGGGATGCTACCCTGCCTCAAAGCCAGAGTGACCCGTCTGCAGTTGGCGCAGGTAACTTCCCGCTGATCAACTGCTGATACCTTTTGCGATGCACTGCGCCACATAATTGGACTATGGTTTGGGACTATTGGATATACGTAATTGGTTTTACAGCCAGACAGTCTAGTTCATGAACGCATTTCCAATTTTTTGACTGATTTCAGAACACATCCTCCTTTGAAATCCATTCACCCTGGCCAGAGCTACCAGAATTTTCTAAACTCAATTCATGGTGTATTCAGTGATCAGTCAAGACACACGCTGTCGTTCATCGTATTATGTTGTTTAATGAACTGCTCTCGTGTCTTCCCACGTATATTGTTTGTCCAGACAGCAAGATACAGTCATGTAGTTTCCTTACGCACGGGTATTGATGATAGTGCTTGGGGACGTCCATATGAACGCAAAATGGGTTCTGACTTTTTTGTAGGTATGTGCGAATCCGGATGAAAATGAATTATATGTATTTTGTGTTATGTATAAGGGTGAATGCTGATGCCCACAATGTGTCCCCTGTATGTTTTCAACGTTTTGACAACACAACGCCTACCGTATCCACTATATTTTTGCTAAGTCCATGAAAAAGGAAATCCCTGCGGAAAAAAATGTTCTCGAATGACCTCATGTACCTCAGACATACAGTTTAATACGGAAAACACCACATGCAGTATTGCCAAGAGTGTCATTTGAAATTCGTGGCAATTTGAAAGGAAGATAGTTGTTATCCACCACGAGCAGAAGCACCCCCTCATCGGTTGAACAAAGCCAGGCTGATCGGGAGTGTTCACTTTGCTGGTAGCGACGCGATCGTAAAGCATGCATTGCATAATCGTTCATGAACCAGCGAAATGCAGTTCCCACCAGAGGGGCCTCAGTTGTTAGGAAAATTGCGCCCTCCTTTGGTCCAGCTTGTGGCTCATGCGCCTCATGTATGCACCTCAACGCAAGAAAAACCTATGCCCGTGCACTTAACGAGGACTGACTCAACGCAGTTCTTCAATGGCATTGTTTTGGTGTCAGAGTTCTGCAACAAAAGGAAGCGCAACGGAAAACAATTGACAATATTCCAGCTGTTCACAGTTTAAGAAAAAGGAGTGTTTTCACAGAGTTTTGAGCAATGTATGTCTTTAAAGCAAAGTAAACAGTAAACTGTTATGCCCTAACTAATTTTTTCTCTTTTTTTCAAAAATTCCTTTATAAATGATGAGAAAAGTTAAAAGGGACCAAAAGAATTCGCTATCTTTTAAAAATTCACATCTATTACGCTTACGTTTACAAGTTTCTCTGATGTGGCATAAACGTAAATACGAGCACTTTTTCTCTTTTAATGTTACATTGACAATAGAGAGGATCACGTGTTGATCTTTCATTGTCAAAATCTCACTTTAAATTTTTGTGGTATCAATCGTACCTTTTTTTATCGTGCATTCATTTTATCAAATACACGGTCATTTGTGAGATAATCAAAGGTGTGTTCTTCATCACCTCAACTTTACAGGGAAGCATAGTAGTATTAACTCCCATAACAATTTGGGTGTCTCGAAAAGTGCAGCCAAAAGCCTGGCATAGCCGACGATGACGTTGTTCCAAACACCTTTTCGTGCCATCCCAGTTAGTTGGCGCCTCCCTCCGATTATTGCTTCAGGCTGGAACAACTGCGACAACCTGTTCCTCTCCATAAATGCCTCGCCCAAGGATTGCTCCCACCTGAAGCTTATCTCTGTAAAAGGTCACGCTTTGCAGCGCGAATTGACCGAATTGGAACGCAAAGTGCACTTTTATTGCTGCCCCCTTAAAACCCGATTCTCCTACATTTACTCCGTCATCCGTTTATTTACCTTGTATTGACATTTTTCCGTTCCCTGTTTATTTCTCGAAAGCCCGTCTCCCTGCCGCTGGTACTTTTCATCGGCACATATTTGCTTCTACTAGGACCTGCCGATTATTGTGCCGGTAGCGTTGCGATTTGCCAAAGCAAATAGTAAGAAGTTGAAACATACCACGGGAAAAAAAACCCGATTCCTGCCCCACTTCCCTGCAAGCTTTCTTGTATAGGTCGATTGTCTGGTCTGTTGACTGGCTTGTTTGTTGGTCGATATAAGTTGGCACTCTTGGGCAGAGGGAGGTTGGGTTGTTAATGGTAAACACGTTTGCTGTTGTTTGACGGCTTATTTGGTTGATTTATTTTCTAAAGGACCACAGCTCAAAGATACTCGGAGTTTTTCAGTGACACGTAGCTGGCAGCTGATCACGGACAGACGGTGTCTGCCGATAAGCAGCAGGATTACAGAGA